AGGTGAGAGGTGAGAGGGAGGTGAGAGGTGAGGGAGGTGAGAGGTGAGGGAGGTGGTAGAGTGGGGAGGTGAGAGAGGTGAGGGTGGTGAGAGAGGTGAGGGAGGTGAGGGAGGTGAGAGAGGTGAGGGAGGTGAGGGAGGTGAGAGAGGTGAGGGAGGTGAGAGAGGCGAGAGGTGAGAGAGGCGAGAGGTGAGAGAGGTGAGAGAGGCGAGGGTGGTGAGAGAGGTGAGAGGTGAGAGTGGCGAGAGGTGAGAGTGGCGAGAGGTGAGAGTGGCGAGAGGTGAGAGTGGCGAGAGGTGAGAGGTGAGAGAGGTGAGAGGTGAGAGAGGTGAGAGAGGCGAGAGGTGGGGGAGGCGAGAGGTGTGAGAAGTGAGAGGTGGGAGAGGTGAGAGGTGTGAGAGGTGTGAGAGGTGTGAGAGGTGAGAGGTGTGAGAAGTGAGAGGTGTGAGAGGTGAGAGGTGTGAGAGGTGAGAGGTGTGATGAGAGGTGAGAGGTGTGAGAAGTGAGAGGTGTGAGAGGTGAGAGGTGTGAGAGGTGTGAGAGGTGTGAGAGGTGAGAGGGTGAGAGAGGAGGGAGGTGAGAGAGGGAGGTGTGAGAGGTGAGGGAGGCGAGAGGTGAGAGAGGTGAGAGATGTGTGAGAGGTGAGGGAGGCGAGAGGTGAGAGAGGTGTGAGAGGGAGGTGAGAGAGGTGTGAGAGGTGAGGGAGGCGAGAGGTGAGAGTGAGAGAGGTAAGAGAGGTGTGAGAGGTGAGAGAGGTGTGAGAGGGAGGTGAGAGAGGACTTGCTCTGCACGTCCAGTAATCAGCTGAGACACAAACAAAGACATACTCACACTTTCTCAGTTAATTCCCTGACTTTCCACATGTTGATCATGACCAGTGGGTGGTTGGGCGGCTTATATCTGCCAGTGGGTGGCCAGCACACCCGTCAACAACCTCCACACACCAAAATATGTGATGCAGCAGCTGTAACAACACTTTCACCTTAACATGGCTCCCCACACGTCACAATGTGCGTTTAATATCTTATAAAACCAGTCTCTCTCTCCTTCACGTCATCTCTCAACCATCAGTGTTGGCTATGGAACTACCTTTTAATATTTTATTCTTAAATATTTATTAAGCGTGCAGAAATGTAAGGAAAAGTCAAGAACAAAAGTGTTTTCTGAATGTGTAATCGTAATGGCGGTAAATTTGAACCACTGTCATGCGCCAATAATAATAATAATAATAATAATAATAATAATAATAATAATAATAATAATAATAATAATAATAACAATAATAATAACAATAATAATAATAATAATAACAATAATAACAATAATAATAATAAATAATAATAATAAAAAAATAATAATAATAATAATAATAACAATAATAATAATAATAATAATAATAACAATAACAATAATAAATAATAATAATAATAATAACAATAATAAATAATAATAATAATAATAATAATAGTAATAATAATAATAATAATAATAACAATAATAATAACAATAATAATAATAATATTAACAATAAATAATAATAATAATAATAATAATAATAATAATTAATAATAAATAATAATAAATAATAATAATAATAATAATAATAATAATAATAATAATAACAATAAATAATAATAAAAAATAATAATAATAACAATAAATAATAATAATAATAATAATAATAATAATAATAATAATAACAATAAATAATAATAATAATAATAATAATAATAATAATAATAATAATAATAATAATAATAACAATAAATAATAATAATAATAATAATAATAATAATAATAATAATAATAATAATAATAATAACAATAATAATAATAACAATAATAATAATAATAATTTTTTTTTTATTTATTTCCAATTTGAGCACACATACAGAGGTACAAAAAAATACAGATAAGAGCAGCATGCCAAAGCCACTTATACTATGCATAGCATTACGGGCTGGCTTAAAATTAACTTAAGATTAACTAAGCAATGATGAAATCAGTGATAAAACATTAATGTAAACAGATTACTATAAAGCACAAGTGAGTATTACAAAGACAGGTCATATGGTTGCATTCAGTTAGGTAGTGATTCTGTTAGGTAGTGTATTTAAAAAATAATAAAGTTAGATTGGGTTTTAGGTTTAACATTTATGTGATATAATTGTGAGAAACATTTAAGATATACAATTTATAAGGTTCAGTTATTCAGTATTTTTTTTGGTTTTGGGTGAGTAAGTGATCTTTGAGAAGAGACTTGAATTTATAAACAGGTAGTGTTTCTTTTATATTTACAGGTAATGAATTCCAGATTTTAGGGCCTTTTATGTGCATTGAGTTTTTGCATAGCGTGAGATGGACACGAGGAACATCAAAGAGTGATCTGTGCCTTGTGTTATGGTCATGTGTTCTGTTGAGGTTGCAAGGAGATGTTTGAGGGAGGTTAATATCAGAGTTAAGTTTCTATGTATGTAATAGGTGCAGTAATAAGTTGGA